AGCATGGAACCGAAAGAGGGGCAGCCACAACCCAAAGAATGCTGACATACACCAGAATCTGGAAGAGGCAAATAATATATTTTTCCCAAGATTTGAAGAAGGAGAATAGCCTGAAGAAATTTCTGTCTTGTCCCCAAAAATCAAAGGTCGAATATTTTCTCTGATATGTGGAAGCTAACACAATGGAGGGAGGAATAGAATTTCAGTAGATTAGACAAAGGGTAATGAATGAAAGGAAGGGAGTAGGGATAGAAACAGAAAAGACAGTGGAATGAATCTGACATAACTTTCCTATGTACATATATGAATATACCACAGATAATCTTACCATCATGTATATCCACAAGACTGGGATCCTAATTAGAATAAGATATATTCCATGCTTGTATAAATATATCAAAAATAGATTCTACTGTCATATATAACTAAAAAGAACAAATTTTAAAAAAAAAATTAAAAATCTCTCTTTATAAGCCACCAAGATTTTGGTGAACTGTTATGGTAGCCACAAGAAACTAACAGACCTAGATAACTAATGCTAACACCAAATAGGAAAAACAGATGTCTATATAAATAATAGACAAGTAAACTTCAAAGCAACTAATATTATCTAGGATGATAATAACACAGGGCTCAATTCATCAAGAAGGCATAACAAACATATTTTTTTTGCAGGGGGGGGGGCGATACCAGGAATTGAACCCAGGGGCACTTAACTACTGAACCACATCCCCAATCCAACAAACATGGGGTTTTTTTTGTACTTAATAACACACCTTCAAAATACCTGACAGAGAAAAAAATTATTCAAGTCATACAAAGTTTGTATTCTGATGTGAATGGAATTAAACTATTTTCTAACAACAGAAAGATATTTGAAAAATTCCTGAATATTTGCAAGCTAAATGACATATTTTAAATAACACATGGGTCAAAGAAAAATATCAAAAGAAGAACTGGAAAGCATTCTTAACTGAATAAAGATGCAAACACAATATAGCCCAATGTGATATGACAATAAAGCAGTATTCAGTGGGAAATTTATAGCATGAAATGCATATGTAAGAAAAGAAGAAAGGTTTCAAACATGAGATATCAGTTTTCACCATAAGAAATTGAAAAAGTAGATAAAATTAAGTCCAAAGTAAGAAGCAGAAATCCATAAGGCAGAAAACAGAAAATCTACAGAGAACTTCAATAAACCCAAAAGCTATTTCATTTAGATAATCAGCAAAATTGATAAAAATCTGCCTACATGAATCAGGAAAGAAAAAATTATCAATGTCAAGAATGAGAGCCCAGCACTGTGGTGCATGCCTGCAATCCCAGCAGCTCAGGAGGCTGATGCAGGAGGATCACAAGTTCAAAGCCAGCCTCAGCAATTTATGAAGGCACTAAGCAACTCAGTGAGACCCTGTCTCTAAATAAAATACAAAATAGGGCTGGGGATGTGGCTCAGTGGTCGAGTGTCCCTGAGTTCAATTCTTAGTACCAAAAAATACAAAAAACAAGAGGCTGGACTGCGGAGGATGTGGCTCAGTGGTAGAGTATCTGCTTGGCATGCACAATTCCCAGCATAACAAAAAAGGATGAAAGAGGCTGCTTCTCCCTCTTGATAGCTCCAATTCTCTTAGACTGTGTCTCTGCTTTCCTAAGTAAATATCTTTGTCTCTGACTGGCATGTGCTGCTCCTGAGTGAAGTTCCCCCTTCTATCTGGGAACTCATCAGATCCCTCTTTGGAGATATTTCTTCTCCCATGATGTCTCTTGGTGGCCACTGAGGATCTACAAATCCTATTAAAAATAAATTAAACCCTATTTAAGCTAAGTTCACCTATTTACTACATATCAGGAAACTTGTTCCTTTCCATTCTTGTAGGAATTTTCTTTTGGGGGGATGGGAATTACTCTACTCCATCAGGACCCAGTTCCTTGACTAGGAATCTGCTTTCTCTTAGCCATGCTAATTCTTTCTTTCTCACCTTCTTATATTATGGCCCCTAGAGCTACTATAAAGGTATATGTATACCAAACATAATAATGTTAAAATTTAGTTGTCTATCTTCACCTGGCTGTTACCACTATTAGGACCTCCGATTCTTATTATTTGACCCTTGCCTTTTTAAACTTGTTGTAAAATTTGTATTTTTCAGATTACAACAACTTCATGTTAAGAGTATGCCAATGCAAGAGTTCTAATCCATCTACACAACTGAGTCCAGTGTCCCTCTATCTCCTTTAGATCACGTAGGATAAGACTTTAGATCCATGACTACATAGTGTCATTGCCCCTTGCCAGTCTGAAGCATCCATAAAAGATGGATCTTCACTGCTCACCAACATTTAAAATTAAGGGATCAAATTCTGGGGGTGAGGGGGAAGAATGTAATCAGAAATTGAGCATGCAAAAAAGGGAAAAATTTACTGAATCTCAAAGGAAGCACTCATGAACCACTGAAATACCAAAAATGCCCATGAACCATTGAGATGCAAAAAACCACCCATGAACCATTAAGATGAAGAAAGGACCCACAAACTGTTGCAGCTTCTGAACTACTCAGACCAAAACCTTGGTCCTTGCCCTTGATCCATGTCCTCACTTCTAAGTAACATGAGAGAGCAAAGCGCAAGTGCAGGGAAAACTGGGGCAAAATTGCTTAACTCCACCCTGACTCCACCTCTAGTCCTGCCCCTAGCAACCATCCCTTTGTAAATATTTAACACTGTACACAAACAGGTTGCTGTTTCTCATTCTCCATAGCTCACGTTCTCTTTTGAATGTTCCTCTGCTTTCCTAAAAAAAAAAAAAAAAAAAAAAAACACTGCCTATGCCTCTGGGGAAAAATGATAGAAAAGATAACTCTACAGATTCTATAAATATTAAAAGGAGAACAAGGGAATATTATGAACAAATTTATGTAAATAAATTTGAGAACTTAGATGAAACAGGCTAATTTCTTGTAATATACAAACAACTATCAGAGTAACTAGACAAGAATAGATGATAAAAAGCATCCAAATTATAAAGTACAATTCTCTTTACTTACAAATAACTGCTCATATGAAGAAAATTGGCTGCAATCAACAAGGCAGATTTAGGAAAGTTGCAGACTAAGTCACTCATGTGTAAAAACTATTTTACCTCTGCACAACTAGTAGCAAGCAGTTGAAATAAAATTTTAAACTACAATTTACAATATTGTCTAAACTATTAGTACCTGTGGATAAATCAGACAAATGATATGCAAGACCTTTTTGCTGAAAACAATAAGCCATTGCTGACACAAACTAAAGAAAATCAACATAAAGAGGTTCATACCTTATTCATGGATCAGAAGACTCAATATTGTTCAAATGACAATTTTTCCCAACTTGATTCAGAGGTTCAATACATTCCCTTTCAAATTCCCAGCAGGATGTTTTATAGAAATTGACAAACAGACTTAGCACAGCGGCGCATGCCTGTAATCTCAGTGGCTTGGGAGGCTAAGGCAGGAGAATCATGAGTTCAAAGCCAGCCTCTGCAACTTAATGAGACTCTGATTCTAAGTAAAAAGGGCTGGCGATGTGGCTTAGTGGTTGAAAATCCCTGGGTTCAATCCCTAGTACAAAAAAAGGAAAGAAATTGACAAGCTGTTTCTAAAATTCAGGTGGAAACGCAAATGATCTAGAATAGGCAAAACACTTTTAATGAAAGAACACATTTGGAGAGCTAACACTACCTTTTCTAATACTTATTATAAAGCTCCTTATTTTAATATTTATTATAAAACTATGATATAATGACAACAATGTGTTATTAGTGTAAAAACATATATTAATGGAACAGAATAGAGTCTAGAAATATACCAACACAAGTATAGAAAAGTGATCCTTTTTTTTTTTTTTTTTTTTTTTTTGCGAAAGTACAAAGGTGATTCACTGAAAAAAAAAACTTTCCAATAAATGATGCTGCAACTATTGGCCATACGTATGCATATGAAAAAAAAAAAAAAAACTTGGATTCATACCTTGCACCAAACACAAAATTAACTCAAAATGGATTATAAACTTAAATATAAAAAGTGAAACTATAAAAGTCTTTTAAGAATATTTAAGAGCAAAAATGTTATAACTTTGGGTTAGGCAATAATTCTTTAGATAATAACTCCAAAAGAAAAAAAATCATTTAAAACAGATGGCTAAGGGCTGTGGCTGTGGCTCAGGGGTAGAGTGCTCACCTGGCACATGTAAGACACAGGGTTTGATCCTCAGCACCACATATAAATAAATAAAGGTATATGTCCATCTATAACTAAAAAAAAAACAGATTGCTAAGTTGAACTAAGTTGAACTTTAAAAAGAAAAACGTTTGCTCTTTGAAAGATACGACAATGATGGGATGGGAATGTGACTCAGTGGGAGAATTCTTGCCTGACATGCATGAGGTCTCAGATTCCATCGCCAGCAACACACACACACACACACAGTTAAAAAGGAAATAAAATAAAAAAGATAAAACAATGAAAAGACAAGTTATAGACGGGGAGAAAATATTTGCAAAGCATATATCTGATAAAAGACTTGTATTTGGAGTATATGTTACTCTAAACATCCAATAAGAAAACAAACCCAATCAACGTAAAATGGACAAAAGATTTAAAGAGGTGCTTCCCCAAAGAAGATATACAGATGACCTAAAGGCATATGAAAAGAAATTCAACATGATTGGTCATTAGGTAAATACACATTAAGGCCACAATACTACTGCATACCGACTAGAATGACTTGCATTAATAAAGAATGTCAACAAATGTTGAATTTATCAATAAACTGGAACTCTCTTACATTATCAATGGGAATGTAAATGATATAAAATGTGCTTTTTTAAAAAAATGATATTTACGTAACTTCTTAAAATAGTACTACGGTTTCTTTAAGGGAAACACGTGAGTTTTCACTTCCGCTTCCGCTTCCGGTAGGCGCTTCTTGTGGTGCATTCTATAAGCTAAGCAGTCGCCATGGAGCTGTTTGGAAATTGCGTTGGCCCTGACGGAAAACAAAAACAGTTGCGGGTATTCTGTGATGCCTTAGATGACAACGACCCCATTCAAAACCTGTTGTCTGATGTGGCCCAGATGAAACAGGCAGTAACCGAATTCTTGGACCCCCTAATTCAGCAGGAAGTGCAGGACCCGATGTCGGAAGCTCCGGAAGAAATGTTGGAGGAGGTGTTGGACGAGGCATTGGACGAAGCACTGGATGAGGCGTTGGACTACATGGTAGACGAGATGGTGGACGAGTCTTTGGACGGTGAGCCCAGAAATCGGAGGATGAGGTGGGACACACAGGGAATGTAGATTTGGGGAGCCCATGTAGCAGTCCAACCGCAGAAAGTGAGACTTGGGGACAGAAGAATAGCATTTTTAAAAGGTGGTTACTGCCCGGCACGGTGGCGCATACCTGCAGTCACAGCAACTCGGGAGGTTGAGGCAGGACAAATTTAAAGCCAATCTCAGCAATTTAGTGAGACCCTGTCCCTAAGTAAAAGGGCTGGGTGGTTGAACACAACTGGGTTCAATTCCAGGTACCAAAAAAGGAAAAAAGCCAGCCTTAGTCTCAGCAATTTAGCGAGGCCGTAAGCAACTTAGTGGAGAACCTGTCTCAAAAATCAAAAAAAAAAAAAAAAAAAAGATGTGGCTCAGTGGTTAAGTGCCTCTGGGTTCATTCCCTGGCACCCCCCTCCCCAAAAATGAAGTTGGTACCCATTGCTTTATTTATCTGGACTGTTTCCACCCAAGTATCTAAACGACTTTTAATTTCTATCACAAAAATTGTGCAGAATACCTACTACTCTGTGCCAAGCAATGGGGGCCTGGAGAAAGAATGAAGTGAATATGAGTCAGTTTCTGCCCTTGTGGAACAAAGGCAAACACTCTCTATTAAAGAGTAAAGAAACTACCGGGTAAGGTAATGTTGACTGCAATCCTAGTGACTTAGGGGGCTGAGGCAGGAAGATAGCAAGTCCAAGGCAATTTAGTGAGGACCTAAGTAACTTAGCAGGACCTGTCTTTAAAAAAAAAAAACAAAAACGGGCTGGGGATGTAGCTCCATGATAAAATGCCCTTGGTTCCAATCCCCAGTATTCCCTACCCCCATCCCCCCACCACCACCACCACAACCACCACCACCTGCCCCTGCAAAAAAAAAAAAAAAAAAAAAAAGAATAAAACTGTGTGACTTGGGCTCTCTGTAACTATTCCAAGCTGAGAGAACCCAGGAAGGCTTCTCTAGAGGGGGCTGACTTTTGAGCTTGGTATTGAAAAAGCAAAAGGAGTTTTACCAGGTGTGAAATTAAAAACATGTTTGAAAGAATACAATATATTCTTTGGAACAATAGGACAAGTTCCAAAGATTGGGGGCAGACTTCAGTTTAACATATCTTAACGACTGGGGACTCTTCCTATATCCCAGTTTTGGTGGAGGAATTTTGAAAGTAGAATCATAAAGTTTTAATTCTCTTAACTTAAAAAAATCTGAAATGAGAATATAGAAACAGGTTGGTGCATTTTTGACTGCCCTGAGCTAAAAACAAAACAAAAAACAAACCCCGGAGGGATGGGGATATAGCTCAGTTGGTAGAGTGCTTGCCTTGCATGCACGGACTCTGAGTTCAATCCCCAGCGCCACAAAAAAAAAAAAAAAAAAAAAACAAACAAACAAAAAAACCAAGAACTAGATAGATACTGGATTCTAGAGAGGAGTGTAAACTATTTCCACCTTGTTTCCCTCTTGATAATGTGGATGCTGGCTCTAATTTAATAAAAAACAGTAACAAGTGTTGTGTAGTATGTGAAGAATTCTGAACCTTGTACCTTGGTGGTGGAAATGTAAAATGGTGTGCCCACCTACAGCAGTTCGGCAGTTCCTTAAAAACTTGACATAGGCCAAATGTTTTCTTTGATATAAGGAGAGTAACTAAGAACAGAGTTGGGAGGAAGAGCATGAGAAGAAGATCAACATTAAACAGGGGTGAGAGGTGGGAGGGAAAAGGAAAGAGAAGGGAAATTGCATGGAAATGGAAGGAGACCCTCAGGGTTATACAAAACATACAAGAGGAAGTGAGGGGAAAGGGGAAAAAAAAACAAGGGGGAGAAATGAATTACAGTAGATGGGGTAGAGAGAGAAGATGGGAGGGGACAGGATGGGGGATAGTAGAGGATAGGAAAGGCAGCAGAATACAACAGACACTAGTATAGCAATATGTAAAACAGTGGAAGTGTAACCAATGTGGATGTGTAACCGATGTGATGCTGCAATCTGTATACGGGGTAAAAATGGGAGTTCATAACCCACTTGAATCAAAGTGTGAAATATGATTTGTCAAGAACTATGTAATGTTTTGAACAACCAACAATAAAAATTAAAAAAAAAAAAAACTTGACATAGGGCTGTGGCTGTGGCTCAGTGGTAGGTCACTTGCCTAGCATGTGTGAGACACTGGGTTCAATTCTCAGCACTACATATAAATAATAAAATAAAGATCCATTGACAATTAAACAATATTTTTTAAAAATCTTGACATAAAGCTACCATATGAACCAGAAGTACCACTGTTAATTCTTCTAAGAGAACTGAAAAACATGTTTACTTGAAAATCTGTATGCTAGTGTTTGTGGTAGCATTATTCATAATAGCTAAAAAATGTAAAAAAAAATGCACATGTCCCTTAACTGGTTAGTGTGAAAGCAAAATGTGGTATGTCCACATAATGGAATATTACTTAGCAATAAAATGGAATAAAGTATTGATACATGCTACAATGGGAATGGATCTTGAAAACAGTGAGTCAGATACAAAAGGCCACATATTGTATGATTCCCTATATATGAAATGTCCAGAATAGGAAAATCCATTGAGAAAGTAGATTACTAGTTTCGAGGGCTGAAGGGAAATGGTAAATGTCTGCTAATGAGTATGCAATTTCTCTCGGTGTTAATGAAAGCATTCCAGAATTAGTGATGGTGATTGCACAAGCAAGTAAATATTTAAATAAAGTTCTGAAAAAGCACTGAAATATACACTTTAAGAGTTTATTGTAAGTGAATTATATCTCCATAAAAGAAAGTGATAGAAAGGAAAGATTTAAATATTAAAATTCCTGAAGTCTTTTTACTTTAAAATATGCATGGTTTTATTAATCCCTAAAGTGAAATTGTCTCATTGTAATCATTTAGCTATCTTACTTTCTACTAGTGAACATAATCTTATAAAACAATTTTTTTTATTTTAGAAGATGAAGGTGAAGAAGATTTTGAAGATGATGATGATGATGAAGATGACATCTTTGATAGCAGCACTGACTCAGGTGAACCACCTGCGAAAATCCCAAAACTATCACCTTAGCTATATCTTTTACGCAATGTAAAGGCCCTCTACTGTATTCTGATTGTTATACACTGATATTTGAGGAAGAAGGAAAGCATTTATTTTGTTCCCCTGAAAAAAGTTTGTCAGAGAGAAATTTTGTTTCTGTTTCTAGCAAAGAAAGATACAATAAATGTTTAAGAATGCAGTCTGTTTTCTTGACTGAGAAAATGAATCTAGATGGGTCCTATGATAAATCTTTGTCAATGGAATGGTAGTAGAAGGGATGTGCATAACAGGCCAAACTAAGAAGCCCACGTGTCTTCTCCACTTGTCTAACATGCATATGACCCTAGGTTCCATCCCCAGCACTGCCAAAAAAGGGGGTGGACGGAGCTGCATACATCATTCTATTTGTATAACATTCTCAAAATAACAAAATTATAGGGATGAAGCACATATAAGTGGCCACCTGGGATTAGGTATAGAAATGGGAGGAAGTGGAAATAGAAGGGCATCATAAGGAACTTATATTGTAGCAATGAAACAATTCTCTTGATTATGGTGGTGATGATGGTTATATAACTACACTTGGGAAAATGCCATCTGATCACAAAGACATACAAAATGATATGCACAGGTAAATGAACTGATTAAGATCTACAGTTGTGCCAATTTTCTGGTTTTGATGATGCACTTTAGTAATGGAAGATGTCATTAGTGGGGGAAGCTGCTGATTGTTACATGGACTCCATCTGTGTTTTTCAACTTAATGTATCTAATTATTTCAAAATATAAAGTTAAAAATTGACAGTTCAGTTACTGGAAAAAATTTTAAGTACGTTTGGAACAATTTCAATAGGAGAATCTACATTTTCAACTAAATTTATGAAATCTAAATACAGATCAAGTATTTCTGGTGAAAATTCATCATCCAAATCGAGTTATGCCATAAGTGTAAAATACACACCTTATTTCAAAGACCTTATATAACAATGTAGAAATATCTAATGATTTTATGGTGATTATATACTGAAATGAAAGCATATAAGATATATTGGGATAAACACAAAATGCTGTTAAATTCTCTGGTTCCTTTTCAAAATTATTTATTTTTATGTGGTGCTAAGGATTGACTACAGTGCCTCACATGCTAGGCAAGCACTCTTCCACTGAGCTACAGTCCCAGCCCTCTCTGGTTCCTTTTTACTTGATAATGTGACTACTAAAAAAGTAAAAATCAGTATGTTATACACATTTTTATTAGACAATGCTGTTTCAAGTTTTCACAAGGATAAAAACTGCAGGAAGTAACTATCACCCCTGAACTGAGTAGGGGGAGGGGAAGAGTTTGCTAATTGTTTGAACTGTAAAGCTAATCTGAAAAGGTGACACCACCTGCCAGCTGGTGCTGAAATCCATGAACTTGGAGGAAGTTCCCTGTGGTGCTGGAACCCAGACTTCCAAGGAAATTTACAAGGTTTTACCAAAGTACACAAAATAAATTTATTTTTATTAGAATTCTGTATTTGTAGAAGTAGAAAGTTTTACAGTAAAACAAAAAGGTTTACCCACTGTAAGTTTAATGGGCTGTCAAGTCACTCAGAGATCAATGTGGATTAAGGGACACAGAGAGATTAAACTACTATTATCTGAGATCAGTTGTCAACCTCCAAAATATTCCCCTCAGTAGCTTTCCAATATCCTTGGATTCATTCATAAAGGGACTTTCAAAGAAATACAAATAGGTTTCCAGGATCTTGGTGCAAAACAGTGAAGTCATTAACATTTAGCTTTGGCATGGTCCCTGCTCAATAAATGGGAAAGAATTAAAGCTCTCTGAGCTTTGGTTTCTTAATTTTTTGAAAAATATCTTTTCTCTTCCCTGTACTTGACACCCATTTCCTGGGCATTATTATCCAATAATATAAAAAACTAACAAGGCCAAAGGTAGTCTCTCTTCCCATGGCATCTACATTTTAATAATACTATTTCGGTAACATCTCTGATGGATTTTTGTAAGATTTCACCAATCTTACAATCTTACAATTCTCCAACCAGCCCTGTGTAGTAGCGTGAACAAATACCTTACTGATGAAAAACGGTCTGAGAAAGGTCTGCCCACAATTATAAACAAGTCAGCGGTAGAACCAGGATCAGAAAGCATTTCTCCCCCTCCAAGCCATTACTCTTTGCTAGAGATAAACATTTTTAACCTTCATGTTTATGGACCCTTCTTGGTTTGTTTCGGATCATTTGAACAGAAAAAGAGAGGGCGGCCTCAGCCTTTCCCTGGCCATAAAACCAGAAGCAAGCATCAACCCTGGTTTATTATGTGCACTGTGTTCTTTGGCCCACATCCAGACCCCCTTCCTCAATTATGGAAACCTCTGCCAATCCACAGTCTGGCTGGAGACCTTCTCCAGTCAGCCTTGGCTGACCAAACACATAACTATATTCATCATTTCCTCATATTATATTCCCTCAGCCCTTGAGAATCCAGAATCTTCAGCTAGTAGAACTTGTTTTTAGTGTGTATGTAAGGGGGTTATACACTAGTTTTTAGGGAAAAAAGAAAAGTGACAACATAAACTATCAGAATTTTAATAAAACTGCCAGAGTTTAGGCCATGATGGGGATTATTACATGTTCAGTTTGATTTCTTCCACTTTCTCCACCTAAAATTCTGAGTAGTGATCACTGATGGTAATAGGGTCAACCTAGAGGTCCTGCAAGTTTCTTGGTAACAGAATATCAATAATGGAAGGAACGTATCTGGATGGCATATTCCAATATGTTCCACAGCTATCAGTAGGGAGCATGCTAAACATTGGAGTATACCGCCTGGGCATAACCAGAAACATCCATGTAAGTAACAAGTGAATGTTGAGCCCAGCACCAGTTTAAACCAAGAGCATGAGATCACCTATGGAACTGTTGAGAGCCACAGCCTGAGGGGCCCCAGCAAACTTCCAGCTGCCAGCAAACTTCCAGCTGCCGGCTGATGATTGGCTCACAGCAGCCCCAGCAACATCTAGCTGATTGGCTCCCCCACAGGTGCAAAGGCCTATCCACAAGTATGGCTGTATGCTGGACCGGTAGTCAGTGACGGGTATGATCCAATTGCAGTGGTACCAACCTAAGACAGGAGGCTGACGCCTAGAGGTCAGTTCATCCGATGACGGGTAAGGACCATATGTTGAATTGGACTGCCTAACAGGCACGGTCCCTAAGCCACATGCTTGTTGTTTAAACAGAGAGGGGGAGATGTTGAGAGCCACAGCCTGAGGGGCCCCAGCAAACTTCCAGCTGCCAGCAAACTTCCAGCTGCCGGCTGATGATTGGCTCACAGCAGCCCCAGCAACATCTAGCTGATTGGCTCCTCGGCCCCAGCAACATCTAGCTGATTGGCTCCTCTGCGGTGATGCTCATTGGACTGTTTCCCTGCCCTTTCAGACCACGGAGCTGCTCATTGGGGGACTTTTTTGGCTCCGCCCACGTGACCCAGCCAATCGGCCTCTAGAGCAGGAGGATTGTGGGAGGTGGGGAGAAGCTTGTGTGGGAGAGAGAGGCTTGGGGAAAGCCGGTGGTGGCAGTTGAGGCTCTGAGGGTTTTTCCTGAGAGACTATTTTGTTTGTCGTGTGTGGTTCTAAAAATAAAGTTAGTTTCTTTTGACAAGTGGCTCCTGATTGTGCCCAGCCAGACTGCGGCAGGAACCATTCGAAGACACCCCAATGAGACTGATCACCCCATCGTCATAGGAGGACGCTGACCCACCATTCTCTCATCCAGATCAGCTGGAAGTAGCCGGTTGCTGTCTGCCTCTGCCTAAGAGGGACCTGTAAATATAAAACTTATATAGGTTCCCTAGCAAAGTAAAACATCACATCCTGCTTAATTTCACTACAGTGTAATCATTTTTTTCTCTCCAGTCTTCTCTTTATTTGCTCCAGGGCAGCAGGTGCTCTGGGGGGCTGACATTGACTTCTGGGGCTCCTCTGCCCCCAGGGGAGGCAGGCTTAGAGCACAGTCTCCAAGTGTAATCATTTTTAAAGTCATACATACTCAGATATACTTAGATATCTCTGTCATTCTAAATATTTCCATAATAGTTCAGTTCAACAAATAATTTTTGAATGTCTGCACCCTAGGCACCATACTGGTTACTAGAGATGCAGAGATATCTCGAGTTGTAATTGTCAGGCATTACCAAGAATTTCTTACACTCTGCCAGGTGCTTTAGATACATCATCCCATTTAATTCCTTCTAGTGAGGTATTCTTAGCACCACTTTAAATGAAAAAAAAAAAAAAAACACTAGTCATAGAAAGGTTAAGTAATATGCCTAAGGTTACAAAGCATAGATGAGACATAACCCCAGGACTATCCAATTTTAAATTCTATAATATTAACCACTATACTTATATTGTCTCTATATCATATACTACATCGCTTTAAGAATCTCATGGTAGGGGCTGAGGTTGTGGCTCAGTGGTACAGCGCTCACCTAGCACTTGTGAGGTGCTGAGTTCGATCCTTAGCACTACATAAAAATAAAAACAAATAAAAAATAAAGGTATTGTGTCCAACTACAACTAAAAAGAAATTTTAAAAAGAATCTCATGGTAGAGCAGTGTATATACACTCCTATATATATAAAAAGATATTTTCAAATTATTAATCTGAATGCTAAGATAGAGGATGCAGAGGAAGAATGCAGAGGAAGGACCCTTGGAAAACAGCACAGCATATGCATTAAGAACATATGAGCCAGGCATGGTGGCACACGCCTGTAATCCCAACAGCTTGGGAGACTGAGTCAGGAGAATCACAAGGTCAAAGCTAGCCTTAGCAACTTAGTGAACCCCTAAGCAACTCAGAGAGATCCATATATATATACGGATCAGGAGCCTGTGGAGGGAGGATTGCTTGAGCTCATGAGTTTGAGACCAACCTGGGCAACAAAACAAAACTCCCTTCTCTAGAACAAACGAAGAGAATATGGATATAGACTCCAAAGCCAAATGGCCCCAGTTTTA